TTAACAAAAAATTGAATTTGAGGAGAAATACGACATTAGGATCATGGTACATCGGGTTTTCGGGGTCTCCTCCGTAAAATCTTTTATTGACTCTCAAAGTTGCTTTGTGATCAGCCTCTTCTTGACGTTAATGATAGAGCTCGGGAAACTGCACAGGAAGGTGGGGTCCGGGGGTCAGCTCGCGAGTTTCTGCGATGTTACATCGTTTTCGCAACGTCGGATCTCAGGGCAGGAGGAGGAGGAGGAGGGGATGAGCCGAGAACACGCAAGAGTGACCCCCGGTAAGAGTAACCTTTGGTGCGCGGCTTTCTGGAGGCCCCCATTGGGCCCACACCGAAGGTCACTCCGGCGAAAGGTCACTCTTACGTCTAGTCGAATGAGGAGGCCACGTCGCGGTGTCGCCGGTCATGCTGTGGAGCGCCCTGCAGGTGAGGAGACAGGCGTCGTGGCGGAGAGGCGGCCTGCAGCGTTTCATGACGAGGTGAGCGGTGGGCAACGCGCGCTTCACCCAGACCCCCGACGCCATGATTGTTTCGTGGCGTCGACCCCCCGAGGTCTCGACACACTCCGAGGACCGGCTCCAATCGGGGATCTTCTGACCCGGGTCAATCCAGATCCTGGTGAGCCAGGCCTGGCAGGATCCTGCACGATCCTGCACCCAAACCAGGGTCAATGCGAAGGATCCTGCAAGATCCTGCAGGATCCCGCACCCAAACCCGGGTCAGTGCGACCCTGGCCCTGCAGGATCCTGCAGGATCTGGCGCTCTGGCTGACCCCCCGTTTGCATTGACCCCCGTCTCTTGAGCCCCGATCCAAGCCGAAAGCCGCGAAAGACCGGCCGCCGTGATTTTTGCACAACGCGACGGGGTCTGGGCAGCTCGGCTCCGCTGCCCAGCGGATCGCCGGAGCGCAGCTCGCGGTGGAGTCCCGGGCCCGTCGGCGCCCTCGGCCCGCGCAGAGAGCGCCCCTGCTGCCATGACCTTCCAGGAGGGGTAAAAAGTAGCACCAGGACATCGACTTCCCACTTTCTGTCGAGGTTTGAGGCTTCCTAACTTCTGCCGAGGTTTGGGGCATTCCAGATAGGTTTATAGGTCTGGAGTGCTATTTTTTGGCGCTCTGGAAGGTCAGGGTGGGGGACCCCAGAGACGAGGGCGCCCCGAGGCGCCTCCGTGAGGCCCGGGTGCACCTCCCTTGGCGCGCGTGGGGCCCCCCCGCCCTCGGACCTGGCAGGCGCGGGCGCCAGGCATCTGGCGTCTCGAAGAGAAGCAGTCCGCGTCGTCCTCGAATCCCCCTCGGGGATCCTTTCTGCCGGGCCTCGGGGGCGTCAAACCCTGACCTTCCAGAGTGCCAAAAAACACTCCAGACCTAGAAACCTATCTGGACTGCCTCACACCTCGACAGAAATTAGGACGTCGACGTCCTGGCGTTATTTTTTTAGCCCTCCTGGAAGGTCAGGGAAGATCGGCTCGGGAGGAAGCGCTGGTCCTGGGGAGGTGGTCGGGCCGCGTCCCGCAGAAGCCGAGGCGTCGGGCACATCCGGGAAGGAGCGGGCGGCCGCCGGGTCGACGGAGCGCGCACGTGCATGCAGGGGCGCAGGCGCACCGCGTGGATCCGGGAAGCGTGGCATCCCCAACGCCAGCAAGAGTAGGGAGCCCACAGGGGACGTACGCGCCCAGCTATGCACACGAACACGGCCCCTCGATCCGCGAGACCGGCCGCGTGATACGAACATTTGCGCAATGCGTATACTCTCGAAACCAGCGTGTATTCGTGTACGTGTACGTCCTTTTGTCGCTCCTGAAAGAGGTGCGCGCGCCCTGCCGGGCGCACCGCAGAGGAGCGCGAGGGCGCCGAGTTCGCGGAGCGCGCGCGCAGACCCAGACCACCTCGGACCTCTCTTTCTTCACAGCGGGCGATGTCGCCTGGCCTTCTGGGGGCCCCTGCTGGGCCGGGCCTCGGGGCCGTCCAGGAACGACTGGGGATAAAAGCCCTGCCCCAGGCAGTGGGTCGAGACCTCTGGAAGTCGACGTTGCGACACGACCACGACATCGGGGGTCGGGGAACCGAGACATCCTGCGTCTCGAACCAAGGGGGTCGTAAGTCGTCATGGTTTTCTGCCTCTCGGGGCCCGCGTCTCGAAAAATTCGAAACGCCAGATCTATTGAGAGCGAGGGGGAGGGAGGAGGGAGGAGGAGGGAGGAGGAGGAGGAGGAGGAGGAGGAGGTGGAGGAGGGAGGAGGAGGAGGAGGAGGAGGAGGGAGGAGGGAGGAGGGAGGAGGGAGGAGGAGGAGGAGGAGGGGGGAAAGGCCACCGTCGGCAGTTCGTGGGCGGGGGGCCAGGCCCAAACAACCCACGTCTCGACTTTTTCGAGATGGGCCCCTTGGTGGTCTCCAAACCAGGTGGTGAGACACCCGGTGGTGACCCCGATTCTCCCCAAAAATAATTCTGGGTCACCACCGGGTTTGGGGACACGCGGTCGCCACGAGGTTTCGCGTTTCCTGGACCAGCCAGCGCTCGAAAACAACAACCCAAATCGCCCAAAACTCACCACCGGGTGTTCTCACCACCACGCTTGGGGACCATCAAGCCCCCGACCTCTCGACCACTTCCCCGGGACCGGGCTTTCCTCCCGAATCGTCGCCTGACGCTCCCGAATCCTGGAGAAGGGCCCCGAAAGGTCGAAGAAGGATGAGAAACCTTCGTCTGGATCGTTTCGGGACGTCAGATGCCTGGGATTCGGGGCGCGCTATTTTGAAGGGGCCCTGGGACACACAAATAAATGCACACAAATAAACAGATTCCCAATATTTTCCAATATTTTCTGGGTTTTCGTCTTCCCGCCCAATTTCCATATTTTCCCATATTTTCTGGGAATCGACGAATAATTGTGTCTGTGTGTTTTCTCCCCTCCTGATATCCATGAGGCCCCTGTCGGCGATCAGCGGGCGATTGGGAGTCCAGGAGTTGCCCTCCTGTTCGGCGGCGAGCCCCGGGGGGAAGTGAGAAGTGAAAAGGCTGGGAAGTCCCCCGGCCTTCTGAAAAGTTCCTTGCAGTCGGGGCCTTGACCTAAGGAACCCAAAATAAGGAACGATGCCCCTTTTTCCATAAGTTAACCTTCGATTTCCTGTCGAAAACATAAGGGAAGCCTGAGGCAAGCTGCGAAGCAATCAAGGATCACGGAGCCCCTCCCCAACGAAAAGGGTTCCTTCTTCAGGGCCCCGACTGTAGGCCTTCCCCGGAGACTTCTCAGAAGGCTCCAGGGCATCTGAGAAGTCCCGCCACCTCCTGAAAAGGCCTTCTCCTTCTCGTTTCCCCCCCTCGCTCGCCGCCGAGACTGAGGGTCGATGCGTTCCTCCCTCTGAAGTTGCCCCTGGGATCTGGGGTGCCCCGGAGCCTGGGCGACAGATCGCCCTCGAGCTCCGCTGGCGGCACTGGCGCCAGGCCGTCGCCACGACGGGGGAGCTGGGAGCGCCGCGGTGCCGCCATTGTTTGTTGCGCTATTCGGCGGCGACCCCTGGGGAAAGTCAGACGGGGCGGGCATTCTCGGAAGGCTCGGAAGTTCCCCCGGCCTGCCGAGAAGCTTGCGAAGACAGGCGAAAACTCCTCCGAAGGTCGGAGGGCTCTGAGACACCCCGCCGCTTTCTGAGACGGCCTTCTCCTTCTCATTCTCCCCCCTCGCTCACCGCCGAGTGATGAGAGGGAGGGTGGGAATGAGAAGGAACGCCGGTTCGTTCGTTCGACCTGGCTAACTCGACTTACACCTAACTGCTCATCTCCACTCTCTTCTACCCCCTCATGCTGGCCCTCCCCCCTCACCCCCTTCAACAAGCCCCATCTCCACTCTCATCCTCACCTGGCCTCGGACCATCGTCACTATCACCCCACCTCATTTTCATCAACAAAAATATCGTCCCCATAGCCCCCCATCTCCCCGCATCTTCGTATCAATCCTCACTGTCAAGATAGAAAAACGTAAACAACAACTTTTGGCGCTCCGGGCGGATTTCTTGGACCTGCGCTGGACCCACGGGGCGGCGCTGGAGGCGCCGCCGGGGGGAACCGGCGCGGATCCAAGAAATCCGCGCGGAGCGCCAACAGTTTATGTTGATGGTGTGTCTTCTTCTTCGACAACAGCCGCAGCCTGCGGTTCTACACAGACTTGGACCACAAAGACCCACCACATGACATGTCTTGGGCATATTTGCTTCACTTCCCACACTCACTGTCATTGTCATGACTCTCGTCCCCAACGCCGCCCATGCAGACTTGAACCACAAAAACCCGCCACATGACCTACTTCGGCGACGTCGCTGCTGCGTGTGCTTGCCTTGCCCGCACTGGGCCACGTCAGCGCCCGTGGGTGCCCCGGCGCCGCGGCCCAGCAGCTGCCATGGTCACCGCTGACGGGTCTGCTGGACGCGCCAGCCCACTCAGGTGACAACTATTGCGCCTCTGAGTGGCCTTTCTTCTCGTCCCCCCCGCGGCCGGCCGCCCGCTCCGCCCCCTTCCCACTCCTGCATGCTGGCCAATGAACTTTTCGGTGCCCCCGCCTAGCTCTATCGCTGGTGCAGCCAACTCCGGCCCGCCGCCGACGAACGAAGAGTCTTGGGCACATTTGCGTTACTTCCGCCGACTCCCGCTGGCGGAGCCGCCCCGTCATGCTTCCGCCGCCTTCCGCTGAGGTGGAGATGTCAACGCCGTCGGCCCTCCAAGGCAAGGCCCTCTTATTGAGTGCACCTATGCGAAGTGCTCTTCCTGTTGACCTCCAGCTCTCCTCGACTTTCTGAGGGCCCCTACGGTTCCCAAAGGTTCGACATCCTCCTCCTCCCTGCACATCGCTACGCGATTAAGCAATAGTCCCCAACAGTCTGCTCCTCCTCCTCCTCCTCCTCCTCCTCCTCCTCCTCCCTGCTTCTCCCGCCTCATGCACTTTCCCTGTTCCTCATGCTCTTCCACTTCCTCCTCCACCTCCACCTCCCTCCTTCTACATCCTCCTCTTTGTCCCTCTCCTCTCTTCAGGGAGATGACTGCTTGGAGGTCGGCGTCCCATATGTGGCACTGGATACGCTGTCACGCTGCGCCGGATGCGTTGCCTTCGTCCCGAATTATCCGAAGTTCCTAGAATAATGCTGAATTATCCGAAGTTCCTAGAATAATGGGCTGCAGGGAGCCTGGTGAGAAAAGGTCATCAGCTGGTGGGGCCATGACCTTTGACGGCCTCCCTGGGAGATCAGAAAGTACGGGCAGATCGGCCGATGATTTCTGGGAGTGGCTTTCACATGCCCACGTTGCTGAAATTCCCTGGCTCACCATGCCCCCCGTGGACTCCTGGCGGGTTCGAACCCACCACGGAGTGCGCCGACGGCCGCGCGCTCGCTGGAGCGGCGGCCGATGAGGGCCGCCTGGAACCGCCGGCGCGCGCCAACTGGCGAAGGAGGGGTGAGGAGGAGGAGGAGGAGGAGGAGGAGGAGGAGGAGGAGGAGGAGGAGGAGGAGGAGGAGGGGGAGGAGGAGGCGGGGGAGGCGGAGGCGGAGGAGGAGGAGGAGGAGGAAGAGGAAGAGGAGGCAAAGGAGGAGGCGGAGGAGGAGGAGGGAGAGGCTGAGAGTCTGAGAGGGTGTGAGCGCCCCTGCCTCAGAGCGGACAGCCCGAAGCCCGCACGGGTCGACGCCTGAGGTAAAAACAGAGCCACGGGTGCTTCGCGCGCCCAAGGTCCGGCAGAGGGCGGCGCCGCGTGGCGATACAGCGGGTGCACGTCTCGATGCCTCGTGTGCTTGAGAGGTCCCACGCGTGCTCCAGCTCCCCTTCGGCTCTTGGGCCCTTTTGGGGGGGGCCTCTCGACATGTTCTGGAGCGGGGGGGGGCACCGTGGATGCTCTCTGGGGCTCTGGGGGCATATCCAGGATCTTGGTGCATTTGCGGGAACGTCTTGGGAGCTTTGTGGGGCTCCCTTGGGGTCTGTTGAGGGCCCTCTTGCGGATTGGACACCTGGGGACCCTCCTCCGACGGATCTCAAGGGGAGAGGAGGCGGAATGAGGGCAACGATGGGGAGGACGGATATCTGGGAAGGAGCACAGGTGCACTCTCGCGCCACATCTGACTTCCTAAACATCCGTCCCAGCCCTGCCCTTTGCGCACAGCGTTTTCCGGATCTCCAATCCAAGTGTTATCCCCTCCGCAGGACGGGCACGCAAAAATCAAAGAAGGCACCTAGGGGGGAACACCTCCCGAGCACGACGTGACTGTCAAAACTCCACGGCGCGCGCACGACACGAATGAGATTTCGCGTCATCCCCCCAGCTGCCCGACCCCCTCCTTGTCTCAGGTCGGGCATGTCCCCCTACAGGCTGATTTTGGGGTGAACAATTAAACATACTAAAACATATATTCAACAATAACCGAAAAATGCTGCACAAATCGTCCCCAGACAATTTTTTGACTACTATTTGTGAATGTTCCTCCTGTGCAGGGACATGCCCGATTGAATCCTGTTCGCGAAGTGCCCATGAAAGTTGTTTGGACTCCGTCCTCCGTGCTCTGAAGAGGAGGGGGGCGACGGGCGACGACGACGGTCCGACGGACACGACAAGCGAACATCCGACGACAGCGAAGACGAAGACGACGACGACGACAACGAAAATCCGACGACGACGACGACGACGACAGCGAGAGATCGGCGGCGGCGACGAGAACGAAAGCTCGACCAACGCCGCGGCACGCTGTGGGTCGGCGGCGGGCTGGGTCCAAGCAAACGCGGCCGGGGCCAGCGGCGGGACGTGTCCGCAGCTCACTGCGGCGGAAACACTGGGAATTAACGGGCGAAGAAGCCCGAGGCGCACTGGATATGGATACGTTTGCCCCCTGGAGGCTCGATGTTTGTCCACATCCAGTACGCCTCGGCCTTGTGGCGCCGCTTCCAGAAAAGTCCAAGAGGCACTGGATACGGATACGAGTCTTGCACGCGCTACACGGTCTGGAAGCTCTCTGGCCGTTCCGCGGCCGTTTCCTCCTCCTGTCCTGGCCTTACCTCAGCGAGCGAAGAACGGTATATAATAAACTTTTTCGCTGTCGGGGGCGCCTGTCCCCGGGCGGCTGGAAAGTTTATACCCTCACGGTGGCACCGTAGGCGTATAAGCTTTCCAGCCGCCCAGGGACAGGCGCCCCCGACAGCGAAAAAGTTTATTTCATACCGTTCTTCGCTCGCTGAGGGAAGGCCAGGACAGGAGGAGGAAGCGGCCGCGGAACGGCCAGAGAGCTCCCAGACCGTGTAGTGCGTGCAAGACTCATATCCATATCCAGTGCCTCTTGGACTTTTCTGGAAGCGGCGCCACAAGGCCGAGGCGTACTGGATGTGAATAAGCATCGAGCCTCCAGGGGGCAAACGTATCCATGTCCAGTGCGCCTCGGGCTTCTTGGGAAGGGAGCCCGAAACTCCATACTGCAGTGGATACAGACAGAAGTGTGTGTAGGGGGCCACGCGCGAACCCTGCCCCTACCCCTCCACGATCTCTGAGGGGGAGGGTGGGGTTCACTTCGCTCGGGAGCTCCTGAGCGAAGCGAACCCCACCCTCCCCCTCAGAGAAATCGTAGGGGGTAGGGGTACTCCAGGTTTCGTACTAAAAGGGAGGGGGTCTGGACCCTCCAAGACAAGCCATTTCAGACCCCCCCCCCGTGGGAGAACCCTCCAAAACATCGTCCCCAGACCCCCCCAGGCCCTCCAAGATAGCCTGGAAGAGACCCCCCCCCCGAAATGAGACCCCCTCCCTTTATCACCAGGAGGAGGTGGAGGAGGAGGAGGAGGAGGAGGGAGGAGGAGGGAGGAGGAGGGAGGAAGAGGAGGAGGAGGAGGAGGAGGAGGAGGATAGGGTTCGCGTGTGGCCCCCTCGTGTAGATCTCCAGGCGGCGCCGACACCGCGGGCGCCACGCGCGCCTCCGTGGCGCCGGCCTCCCACCTCGGCCGTCGGGCCTCGGAGGTCCTCTGAGGAAGGGGCCCTCCTCCTCCTCCTCCTCCTCCTCACTCCTCCTCCTCCCTCCTCCTCCTCCCTCCTCCTCCTCCTCCTCCTCCTCTCCTCCTCCTCCTCCTCCTCCTCCTCCTCCTCCTCCTCCTCCTCCTCCTCCCCCTCCCCCCCTGGGACACACAAAGAAATACACACATATGGAAATATTGCCCACCTTTTCCCATGCTTCCGGGGTTTTTGTCTTCCCGCCCACCTCCCATATGTTTCCTTTTTTTACTCGGGAATCGACGATTGCTTGTGTCTGTGTGTTTCTTTCCCTCCTGATCTGAGGAGGCGGCGGCGCGGCCGCGCCGGCGGGGGGAGGCGCACGGGGCCCCGGACGGCATCGTGGTCCCAAACCCCGACGTCGTGTCTTCTTCACAGCTTCGTTCCCCAGAGGTCTGGACCCCCTCCCCGGGACGGTTTTTTTTCATCCCGAGTTGGTCTTTGACGGCCCCAGGGCCCAGTGAGGGCCCCAGGATCAAGGGGCCCAAGGACACACACAAATAAATGCACACAAGTAGAGAGATTCCCCATTTATTCCCGTATTTTCTGGGTTGTTGTCTTCCCCCCACTTCCCATATTTTCCAATATTTTCGGGGGAGTCGACGATTAATTGTGTCTGTGTGCTGTTTTCCCTCCTGACAGGAAGCGGAGAATAGCGCCAAACCTGCCGTCGTGACTTTTTCACAACGCGAGGCCCGCCGGGGACGGCCGGAGACGAGCGGCCATAAACGAAAGTGTCCAAGCGGCCATAAACGCACACGAAGCAACAAGCCACAAATGGACCCAGTCTGACAAGCAACACATAGACAGGAACCTCGCCATCGCTTGGACGTACATTCCCCATCCATTTTTCGACTCCCTTGGCTCAAGGCTCAAGGCTCAAGGAGCTCAGGAGCTGTACCCCCTTAAATTCCCAATCGCACCTGTACCCCCTTAGTTTCCTGACTCAAGTTGCTCTCTACCCTTACATTCCCTCCTTCACCACACAGGTTTTCGATCTCTTCTGGGTGCTCGTGTCTTTTGCCACATACGTGAATATGCCGGCTGAGAAACACCACATGGGAACTCCTGTGAAAGGCGTGCTCAAAACAGCAGACAAAATGCGACGCACGGGAAACTCACCACTTCAAGTCGACGACGAAGGACAACAAGCACTACAAGACCAATTCCAGCAACGTCTTTCGGAAGCTAGTGTGGCGAGCGGTTCCAACATTGCGAACACTACCCCTGAACCACTGACGACAGATACTTTCCGGGAGATTTTGAACGAGCAGTTGGGACCGATCCAGAAAGATATTATGGCTATTAAGCAGCATGGTATTTCAAAGCATGACCTCCAGTTAGCCATCAACCCATTGAAGAACGAGATTGACGACTTGACGAAGAGGATTGGCTTATTGGAGTCGAACTACACGTCCCAGCCGGTCTCGGGACGAACGTCCGAAGCATCAGTGGATACAGCCTCGCAAGCAAAGTTATTAAATTTGGAGAAAGAGATGGCGGCCTTAAAGCAGCGATACACATCTACAGGTAGTCGTGCACAAGATGTGGATGGGAAACGTGCGTTGACCGGAGTGTTTGGTAATTTGGATGGTTTCGGCTTGCTAAACACAGCGTCGGCGTGGCTCCAAGACCAGTTGTCGGCACTATCTGCGCCTACCCCGAACAACATGTACATCAAAGGGGACACCACCACAATATTGTATGCAGAGTTCGACACCACGCTGGACAGGGACACCGCCGTGGCCATGATCAAGAGTGCCAAGTTGTCCCGAAATGGGAACGGCGTGTGGGCAACTCCTGACAGGCACCCTGTGGATAGGGCTGCGCGGAATCTGTGCTTCGGCCTCAAGTACATGCTGCAGCAGCACATGAACATCGAGTACACCGTGAGGGTCAATGACACGTTCCCGTATCAGGTGCACGTGGGTGGGGAGCTTGCTTTGACCGTTTCGGAAGGAGGGGGAGGAGGTCTTAAGCACGAGTGGACGAAGGAATGGGGAGAATGGCAGGAACTCCAACAGCATCCAAAGTTGAAGGAGCTCACGGAGAAGTGCGAGTCGCTCTTGAACAAAGCGTCCAAGGGCATGAAAGGTAAAGGTCATTCCAAAGGTTCCGGCGGGAACTAGGGATTGCGGCCGGACTCCAGAGCCGGCCTAGACACAGACATCTGGATAGGAGTTGGTATGAGTACGATGTTGGGCAAAGCTACCCTCGTACAGGACATGCTGGGCGGCACGACCACACGCACGAACCCGGGCAAAGCTACCGTCTTGCAGTGGCCGTCTGTTGCTGTACCTTCTCCACCACATCTTCCAATACCTTGTTCTGGAGCTCCCTCCTTGCCCCCTACACCCTCACCTGACCACGCCCGTGGACAAGAGCATCACGGAGACCTTGAACGAGCCGGCGCCGGAGCCGACAGACAATCACCGACGATGTCAACGGCGAGAATGGGCAAAGATACCATCTGGCCAAATCTCTCCCCACAAGTTCCTCGACTCCTTGATACCCATGATCTTCCACTTCACTCAGTAGGCATTGCGGGTGTACCGAGCATGCAGATTGAGAGTGTCTCACCCAGAGTTTCACGACAATGCAGCAACATACATAACTCGTTTGGTATTTCCTCACATCCGCATTTTGACTTGCAAGGTTCAGATATTGATCAAACGCCAAATTCAGCGAAGGACGAACGACATCAACATACATACTTGGATATGCAGGGCAATGGAAATCCGAAGCAGCCGCCAAGCTTATCGCAGTCTGCCCGGGATACTTCCACC